GAAAATGTTGACAAAGGCTTGTTTACTGTAAACGGATGAAGCTGGAATGTCGTGGGAAACAAAGATAATGAGAGAAAAGTCCAATAATTACTTCATATGTGAAGGAGAGAGGCCACAGTTTGTGGTGCATCATCAGCTGAAGCAAGGCGATATGTTTTGCTATTTTTTCTCGTTGAAAAATCAGTGGTCCGTGTGCATCCATACACACAGATATGTTGTAGAAACATTGGTGAGAAGAAACTATTTTATGAGGAACTCAGCAGTAGTAGCAGCTCTGAAGAGGAAATTGGACCTTCTTCAAGAAAATAGAAGAGGGCTAAGAAAGTGGATAGTACTGAGGAAGAAAGCGTTGACAAGTCATCCAGTGATGAAGATGATCCTCCTTATTCACATCGCGCAACTTGCTACAAAAATCCTAAACAGGAGAATGTGTCTTCTGGTAACATCGTCTATCTATTTAATTTGTATGTATATTTAAATGTTGGGATAAGGCACAAGTACCTTTAGACTATAATCGAAATTTCAGATACACACCTTAACTAAACTAAGGTTTTGTTACCCTTGAACTTATTTTGAGAGATATTTGAATGTCATGTAAGTAAAAAAGATGCACAAAATTACAAAAAAATGGATTCAGGGTAATAGGACCTTAATTTAATTAAAATGTGTCTCTGGATTTTAATCATACTGTAGGGGTACTTGTATTTTTTCCCTTTAAATGTTTCGCTATCATATTTTAAGAGAAAGTGGTTCAGACGACAGTGGAAATGGTTCAAAGAAGTTTAGAGGATGCAGTAGTACTACAAGTGTGATGAACTTCAAAACTGACCATCCGTACTATGAAATGGTTGTAAAAAGGTCTCACACGACTTTTATGGTAAAGGTCCAATAATTCTCTAGCTAGCTATTTTGTTTTAATTAATTTCTTGCTAGCTACATGTTTTACATACTTTGATATATGTATGTTAATTAGACTATTCCAAAGAGATTCGCCAAAAAGGCCGGCATAATTAGTGGGAAGAAAATGAGACTGGTTAATGAAGAAGGCAAAGAATATTGGAGAGTGGCAATATTGAGCGGGACTATTCGCATAACAAGAGGATGGGCTGCCTTCCGAACACATAACAAGATAGTTTGTGGCTGCTTCAAGTTGATTCAGGGAAACATTTTACAGGTTCAAAAGGTTCCTAAACATCCATCCTTGCAATCTTATCATTAAGAAGGGTAATTTTTTTGTTCATTTTGTAGTTCCTCTGCTGTTTTCTCTAAAAACTATAACGATAGGGGAACTTCTTTTGCTAAGGTAACTTTGGATAAGTTTTTATATACACTGCCTTCAATATAAGTACAATTATATTCACCAAAGTACTCGTATAAGCACTTAAGTTTGTAATTATGACCAAGTGGATGCTTATTTGGTAGCAAAATGCTTATAGCTTGTTAAACATTCTGCAATGTTTGCTCGTTTATCCCTATATATTTTAAAAGACTTTGCTTTAGATAGTCAAAACACTAATCGCTACAACAATAAAGGCTTTTATCGTCATTGGATCGTTGATGCAAATAGGGGTGAAATTATAATGTTAGGTGCAGAGGCGAAGTCATAATTTGGGTTCGGAACCTAACGGTAATATTCATAATTTAAAAACCAGTAATTCAAATGAACTTAGGAGAAATTTCACTGAAACGGGGACAAAATACACCCGCACTCGAGGACAAATTTCACTGAAACAATTTATCAAACATCTAAACCAAATGCAAATTCACAAAACCTCAATTTTTGGAGAAATTTAACTCTGCCCTGTCTGCTTCTAGGAGAAATGACTAAAATAAACAAGAGTAGGGAGTCATGACTAGAATGAACAGTACAAATACTGATTTTGATGGAGCGGATTCAGAATTATCATTAAGGAATGTCAAGGATAGTGGTAAAAAATATAATTATAAGGCTAGTAGGACAAGAACATATTATCTTAAGGAGTTTTCGCAATACCTTAACCACTAGACTAAATATTTAAATTGTGGTGGTGGGGCTGGCTGGCTGGGGTAGGGGGACGGGTGAGGGGGTGGGTTAGGGTGGGCGAATTCTTTTATTAAAAATTGGGGGTGGTAGAGGGGCGGGTGGGGGTGGTGTATGGGATAAAAAAATTAAATTTCATTTTTTTTGGTATGAAAAAATAATAATTTAGGGATTGAGTATTAACAATTTAGCATTGATTTAATATTTTTTTTTGGCTTTAAGAGATTAAAATAGATTAGAATCATTTTACCCAAATTATATTGGATCAAATCCATATTTTCCATATTTTATATAAATTTGCCATATGCTATATAAATTTGAAGTAATTAGCAACTTAAAATATTTAAAAGACATATAGTAAAAAATTAATTGACTTTCAAAATTTAATTTGTGACACATAAATTAAAATAAAAAAAATGACATATATTGGGTATGCTAACAGCATCCTCCACTCTGCAAGCTTTTAATTAGAGAAGGAACCATTTAATAAAGAGTAAATTTTACGTTTAGCAAACATTAAAATCATATTTGTATGTTATAGCTATAGATTATATAATTGCGTTCATAACAAACTTTATGTTTGCTATGGAGGATCAGATTTGTATAAAATCTCTGGCAGCCTCTCATTTGTATAAATCGTTGTCAACCTCTCATTTGTATAAATCGATGGCAGTCTCTCGTTTGTATAAATCGTTGTCAGCCTCTCAATTCAATTTTATGTGTTTGTATATATGCATAATATTTGAATTTATATACAATTGAATCGAAATAAAACATTTGTATATCAAATGTGTCTCTCTCGCTTTATACAACACAAATTATACATCGTAATATGTATAATCTGTGTTTGTATAAAGCGAGAAAGGCAAAAGAGAACTGATCAGGGGATTGAAGATCTGTATTTGTATAATTATAAGTGTATAGGACGAAAATATATGTATTTGTATATACAGTTTTCTCTCGCTTTATACAAACACAAACACATTTTATACATTTGTGTTTGTATAAAGTGAGAGAGGCGAGGGAGAGACTGGCGAGCGAGAAATCTAGGGAGAGAGGCGAATGACAACTGTTTGCTACGAGGTACAATTTAATCAAACTGTGGTTATAACATTTAAATTGAATTAATAGTTTGTTATATATTTTATATAATTTTCCCTTTAATACACAGTTAAGGGTCAAATATATCCTTGTACAATTGAAAATAGTTTAAATATACCATTCGTTATATTTTAGGTCCAAATATACCCCTTCCGTTATATTTTGGGTCCAAATATACCCCTCTGATTATACTTTGACACAAATGTACTCTTAATTTTAACGAAAAACACATGACAAGCTTAAAATCAAACAACGCACCCCAAATTTCAAATACTTAATTCTTTTAGAAACTCATTCCCTCCGCTTTGAATCTTTTCTTTGCATTTTCTTCTTGAAAGAAGCTAATAATTTGTTATATGCCAAAACTGAGATGGTTTTTCTTTCTTTCGAATTGAGGTTTTTTTTTTAAATGTAATTTTTTTAAATCATGCTTAACCTCTTCTAAAAGTGTCAATATTAATGAAAGAAAATACACTATTGAGATATCTTCTAAAAATTTCAGCATTCGAAAATCGGTTACTCCCTACGTTTGTTAATTTTTCTGTAAGATGTGGGTACAATAATTAATTATATAGAAACAATTTGAAGATTTTTAATTTGTGAGGGAAAAATGCAGCACAACGATGTTGTGTGATATGCATATTTTATTATTTCTAGTATAAGAAATTTAAAAATAGAATAATGAATGGAAAAATGAAAATAAGAGCTCAAAATGGAGGGAATGAGTTAGGATGAGTTACGCAAGTGAGTTTCTAAACAAATTGAGAGTAGATAGTTTGATTTTGAGTTTGTCACATGTTTTTTTGAAAGTATAATAAGAGGGGTATATTTGGATCGAAAGTAACACAAATGGTATATTTAAACTATTTCCTTTAATATAGGGGTATATTTGACTCTTTGCCATTTTATAAAATAGTTACGACTTACGCATAACTTTTTTTAATTATTCTTTGTTCTTTTTTTTTTTTTTTTGGTTCATGAAGTCTAAATTTCTTTCTCAAACATACTATATAGTTTTGTTAATTGTGATTTGTTAGCTGATATCACGGGCTTACTCTCCATTTAAATTTTCTAACATACTCATCAGTTCTATACACAGCCTAAATTATTTGTTAATTTATAAAATTAAGATTAAATTAATTAAAAGAATTATTTTATCGTTAAATTTTATTTTTTAAAAAGTACAAATAAAATAAAGTTCCAAAAAATCCCTTCATTGTTAATCTAGAAATTGATGAACAATTCACATAAATAAAGTGTATTAAAAATAGGTAAATGACATTATTAAAAGTACCTTTCTTATTTTTGATTCTTTAAAATACGGAAAAGTTGATAAGTAATATGAAATGAAGTGATTTAATAGATTAACAAAAGACACAAAAAGATGATGATCAATTAATTACTTCTCATTCAATTAAAAGTTATCACTTTCTATCCTATTTATTTCACTAATTATATTTCAAGAGTAAAAAAAAAAACCTTCATCTACTACTTAATTAACAAGCCTTTTCAGCTTCCTTAGCCTAATCCCTAGACCATAAAATGCTTAGCAACATGACATTAAGATTGAAGGATCTCATTCTCAACCTATACAAACAATTTTCTATTTCTCTTTCTGCTTTTTACCTTATATATTTTGTTAAATGTCCTTTTGTTTTTCATTTTTGATTTACTTAAAGTTATCTTGGTATTTACAAAATATTTTCTACTTTGGACTATTCCAGACTTCCTAAAGCAGTCTTTAGTAAAATTCCTATTATTATATATATATATATATGCCTAAATCTAGAGAAAATAAACAAGAAAAAGAAAAGTAATTCCTTCTTTGATTTCTACTTTTTTTTTCTTTTGAAAAAACAGAAACAAATTAAAGATGCTAATGGATCCTGATCAGTCTCCGGCGTTTTGCAAGATTTTACTGTCTAGAGACACCGTCATGAATAAAATGGTAAGTTTTTCAATCTTTCTTTAATTTGTTCTTCTTTTGGGTTCTATTGATGTTTTGAGGAATTTAGACATAGTATGCGTTAGATCATAGATTTCAAATTTAAAACTATCAAGTTAAAATTGTATTAGGTTCTTTTGCAGAAAAAAGAAGAAGAGAACATTTCATTTGAAATTTATAAATATCAAGATGGAAATTAAGTTTAAACTACTTTTCCAAATTTGAAATTCAACTTCAAGTTGGATTTGAAAATTTTATAATCAAAAACTAATTTTAAAACAAAGTAAGAACTACTTAAAAGAAGATGAATAATTCTCATGGCCAAATGAACTTGTAGATTTGGTTGAAACCATATTAGAAAAACTCACCAAAAAATAATAATAATTTTTTTTTAAAAAAAAAGGACATCTCATGTGCTAACGAGCCCTAATATTTTTTGTTCATTTGCTAAATTTGATTTGTCAGCAAGTACCGTCTTGTTTCGTAAAAGATAACAAGAAAATGTTGAGTACTAAAAACGAGTGAAGCTGGAATGTCATGGGAATTAAGCAAAGATTGTGAGAGAAAAGCCAAATTACTTCATATGTGAAAGAGATTGGCCACAATTTGTGGTGCATCACCAACTGGAGCCAATTCACATTTTGATCTTCTCACTCATTGAAAAATCAACGTTCCATGTGCAGCTAGCCATACACACCAAAAAGTTGTAGAAACATTACTCCTTTTTTATGAGGAACTTAGCAGCATGCATGCAGTAGCTTTGAAGAGGAGATTGGACCTTTAAAGAGAGCTAAGAAAATGGAACCAATAATAGTAGTATCGGATACTGAGGAAGAAAGTGTTGATATGTCATCGAGTGATGCTGATTCCAAACATGAAGATGATCCTCCCTACTCACCTCGTGCAACTTACTATAAAAATCCTAAGCGGGAAAAAGTATCATCAGGTAACATATCGTCTATCTATTTCTACATTTGGTATACTTAGGAAGTATTTGCTATATATTTATGAGTTTATTATAATATAGGCTTAGCCAATTGTAAACATATATACCACAATGAGAACAAATTATTCCTATCAAACAATCAATTGCTGTTACTATTATTCCTTGTGGTTTTCCACTTTTGCTTGTTTAACTATTTTTTCCTCCTTTTTAAAGAAAATAACTTCAATTGCTAGACTAAAGTCCTAGTGTTAAAGTTCCTTTTAATTACGTAAAAAGGAAGAAAAAAGAGAGATGTTGACAGGAGAGTTGAAAAATGAATTTGACAAAACAAGATCGATTTTAATACATTTAATTTGCACTCTTATATACTTTAGATATATATATTTTGGCTTCAGTCTAGATAATGGATTGGAGAGTAATTATATAGTTTATTCACATACAACAAATTAGTTTGTTGCAGATGCCACTTGATTTAGTAGGAATCACGCTGTAGTTATTAATTTTATTCTTATATTAAGTTTTTTATATTTGTTAAATTAATTAACTTCTTGATCTTTAGTATAGTTAGAGATTTAATTTGTATATCGACGCGAGTGTAACTTATGAGTAAGATCTTTAATATGCCCTAAAAAATAAATAGTAACACCTCTTTTCTAGTTTGTGGTAAAATTTGAATACACACATTACATGTATAGTTTCTTTAAAAAATGAAGAGAAATTTGTGATTATAAACATTTCATAACATTTAGATGGTCATATAAATTTTCAAACTTATGATCTTAAATATTTCTTATTATATTTGTAGGAATCATGTAGTAATTAATAGTTATACTTATATCAAATTTATTGCAGATCGAAAGGACAAAGAAGCTCATAGTGGAAGTGAAGAATATGGTCTAAAGAGGAATAGTTGGTGACCTTCAACAGTCATGACGACTATTATGAAATTGTTGTAAAAAAGTCATGCACACACGACTTTTATGGTAAGATTTAATGATTCTTGACATTTTATTTTCTCATTAGCTAGATTTTTCATACAAAGGGAAAAAAGTGGAAATAGTGCATACTGGGCAAAGGGTTATCATAAAAAATGGATGGGCGGAATTTCGAACACATAACAAGATATCTAATGGTGAGTCAAGTTGATTCAGGGTCATGCTACTGCCAGTGTTTTGCAAGTTCAGAATGTCCCAACACCTCATTCCTTGCAATATTTGTAGCTACAATTCTTCTAGTTGTATTTGACTATTATCATATGTCTAAGAAAGTAGCTAGGAAGATACTTATTTATCTAATGTTGTTCCTCATTTGTTTTCTCTAAAAAGGCAGATAAATGAGGACCTTTTTTGCTAAGATACTTAAATTTGGATAAATTTCTTCTAAGAGTTGTCTTCTTATAAGTGTCGTATGCAAGTATAATTATTCAACTAAGTATATTAGTAAGGAATATGTTGTATTGAAGATGCATACCTCGTAGATACGAAAAGAAAATAACTGAAATGCAGCAATGTGACATCTGTTGCATCTTTTACTGTTCTAAAAGTCTTTAATAAGTAAGTAAACTACGTAGATTAAATGTTTAGTACATACTATTCAATAGGAGATGTATAGTGCATATTATTCAATACTACGGAGAGAAGTGCTTCATATGAAGAAATTTTTCATACTCAAGGCTCCAACTCAAGACCGATGTTTAAGGGATGAACAACCTCATCTGATACACCACATCCATTGGTGGTCCTCTATCCCAATTTAAGTGTCCTATTTTATTTTATTTTTGGTTTATCCTAAAAAAAAAAGTATTTCTACTGTAATTTCAATTCTCTATATGACAAATTTAAAACTCAAAAGACGTATAATACATGAGGAAAAATCCTGGGCCATAATGGCCCAAATGTTCTAATAAAGTCTATTTGCATTACAGACATTTTCTTTTGACATTTTTACCCTTTCCTTTTAAATTTAAAATTTTTCTCATTAATTTATATGTTACCTATTTTTCAATACATGGGAGCTTTCCCAATATATGGGGAATGAATTTTTCTCTTCTTTATTTAATTATTGACTTCCGCTTCAAAAATTGGCCATATAAATTACAAGCATTTTAAAATTAATTCTAAAAAAATTGGAATAACGGGACATTTTTAGATAAGTATCTTCACTTCAAGAATTTTATTAATATTTCATTTTCTTTTTATCAACAGACAAATAACGTTATTTAATTAGACAAGTAAGATTCTAAAAATATTTAATCATACCCATTTTACTTCAAAAATTTATTTATATGTTGAGTTTCTAGCAATTTATTTCTATGTTGAGTTTTTAAAATTTCATGTCAAACTAAAATTAAATAAATAATTTAAAATGAAGAGAGTATAATTCTACCATGTATAATTGACAATTAGCGAACATGTTAGGAATTGGGAAAAGCCAAAAGACTCTTATAACTATTTATTGCGTCCTCGATCCCCGAGTTAATCAATCAAATCCATTGATGGGTTTAATTTGAAAATATTGCACTCTACATATACTATAAAAAATAATGGGAAAATATTGCACTTATAACTAGCGATGTCAATGATACGGTTTGGTTGGTTATTTTTTAAAAATTATACCATCTCAATTTTTTGGGTATTTTATAATATATATATATATATAACCAAATTTAGATTTTTTAAAATCATCTCAATCATATTGGTTTCTCTTCGGTATTGGTACGGTTCGATTAATTTTTGGTTTTTTTACTTTTAAAATATCAGTTCAAAATATAGTAATATTGAAATATTTCTTTCACAAATATGTTCTTGAAGAAACACTTTAATTCTTCACCAAGAACACAAGAATGTAAAACTTTATTGCCATATTGTTTGATAGAGTATCTATTACGTTATCTTTTAATTTTAAACCTAATTAAGTAAAGGCTAATTAAAGAGCAAAGACCCAAAGTCGTTTAGTCACCACAGGCCTAGGACCTAGGTTATATTTATATTTGAAAAAATGTTATAAAACATATTTATATATTAAATTCAACATATTGTTAATATAGAAAATATATTTACATGTAAGGTTATTTGGTTTGGTTTGAGAATTTTTTGATCTTTTCCATAAATTAAAATAATCATCCCAATTGTTCGGAGCGGTTATACACTTAAATAAAAGTCCATGATTTATTGAAGAAATAACATAAATCAATTTGGTTCGATTAGGTTCGGTCGGTTTTTCATATTGTTTTGACACCCCTACTTATAATTATTTGCTTCCCTTTATCCCGACAATTTTTTTTGCTTTCCCATGTGATATTTGATACCCATATTAGAGCTCAACTATTGTGAGTTTGTGCCGCATAGGGTCCATTCGGGGGAAACCGCTCCCTATCAAGGATTTTTCATAGCCAGGACTCGAACCCGAGACCTCTGATTAAGGGAGTAACAACCTCATCCACTACACCACATCCATTGGTGGTCCTCTATCCCAATTTAAGTGTCTTATTTTATTTTTGGTTTGTCCTAAAAAAGTATTTTTGTTGTAAATTTTTCAAAAAAAATTCCAATTCCAACATCGTGTATGAAACCACAAAACTCAAAAAGGCATAATAAAGTCATTTAACTTGACATTATTTCACATTTATGTTCTCCAATTTTGAGTGTCACAAATAGACACTTAAATGTATAAAGTTCAACAAATAGACACATGAGTCCTATATAACATAACACACGTAGGACACTACGTATGACACAAATTATCATGTTGAATATTGTGATCTATAGTCCGATGAGTCCTAAAGGGTATAGTTATATATTTTGCCTTTTAAATTTTGTGATTTACAGTCACACAAATATTCAAATGTTTTCTTAGATTATAAGTTTTAAAAATTCTTTTTTCAGATTAAAACACTATGTCAAGTCAAATGAAGTAATAATTTTTCTTATCAATTATTGTTAACAAGCATGATAGAGTAGTTAAAATGGTAATATATATTTATATATATATATATATATATTTACTTCCCTTTATCTTCTTCTTTTTTCCCTTTTGATTTCTGTTTTAAAATCAACCAAGTGTGTCTGTTGAACCAAATTCTGAAATTAGATATATAGTGGTGTGTATAGTTAAAAACATAATAAGATTGATGACAAATTTAAGCTTATAATTTTGTATGAGTCATAGGAATTCACGGCCAATTATAGTTACATTAAGGGGCAATGCTTCACTAATAGTATGAATGATCAAGTTTATGAATATTTATTGTTGATAAATGTTTCATTTATTGTAATCCCATTATTTCATTTTCGAACATATGTTGCCTAGATCCCTTAAATTCTATATATAATATAATTATTTTTGCCTTTTGATACTATTAATTGACTTTACCGAAATTTTGCATGTAAATTTATAGAATTATTAGAATAACTTGGAGATAATGGCATGAGAAAAAGGAGATGACGATGCCACTTAGAGCCTTAAGCAAGATACTACTATCGTAATAGCTCTTATAGAAGAATTATGTATTGTAAATGTTCTAAAATTGAAATATGTAATTATGTGAAACTTGAAATCTATTTTGAAATTTAAATTTTGTAATTTTGGCCCTATAGTAGAATTTTTTGTGATTAATAATTCTTATGGTAATATCCTTCATTTGTGGCAATGGATTTTTATAGTTGTGGCTAAATCTATATATAGATTATAAAAAATTATAGCTATACATTTTCATCTTTTAACTTTTATAGAAAAATAAACAAAAATAGCTAGATAATTGTGTATTTTGTGGAAAAACTTGAATTCTTAGCCATGTATAAAAAAAGTTTGTGGCAAATGGAGTACTTTAATTCATAGCTATAAGTTTTCTAACTCATAGCTAAATACAAATATTATTGCCACGAGACTAAAATATAATATAGCCACGAAGGAAGGTTATTCATAGCAAACAAATCAAGTTTTTTGCCACAACAAAATATATTGTGGCTACCATATAAAAGATGCTACAAAATTTATTTGTCGTGGCAAAACATTTAAATGATTTGCTATAGGTATATGTTTTGTAGCAAATTTTCTATATCATTACAGCTACAACATCATTATTTTTGTAGCCGTAAGTGTTAGTCCTTAGCCACAGATCATGTAAAGTCTGTAGCTAACTTTTAGCCACGCTACATCTTGCTATGAATGCTACGGAAACAAAAGTTGTGGCTAAAGTGTTTAGCCACGGACTTTTTGATATTTAGCTACGATATATTTTGTAGCTATATATGCACTTTCTTGTAATCATTCTGTTGAAAACCTAGGTGATGGACAGTTCAGCAAAAGGAAAAGGCACGAAGAGGATGTAGCTTCATCTTCTTTCACAAGAGAGGGTCAAAGCAAGGATCTTTTTGGCTATGTTAATTTAGTACTATGAGTTTTAAGTTCTGTGCACCGACATAAAGCTATGGTAAGTATTACTAATAATAAGTAGCTTTCTAGAAATGGTAAAAAGAAATTTTACATTGTTATTGTATATAACTTAAATTCATTCAGTAATAACATAATGATCTTAATGAAGACGGCAGGATTCAGAAGCAACAATCCAAGAGTGTTTACGATCAGAACAAGACAGTATGGGACAAAGAGAGCAGTATAGCATATCAAAAAGCAAAATCTTTTAAATCTAAGAATCCGTTCATTGTATCTTTTTATGCAACCATCATATGTCTCTACTCCATTCAATAGGGTAAGCTACAAGATGTAATCTTTATGGACTTTGTAGTGCTCTAATATTTCTATATTCCATTGCACTATGTCAAAATCAATTTACTTAGCCATCTCCTTTGGCAGTTCATAGCGCTGAAGTTTGCTAGGAAGTATTTCCTTGAGAACGATGTCAATCTAGTGCTTCGTGTTTCAGGAAGTGGATCTTGGTCTGTCAAATGCACTATCGGAACAGTAAATGCTAAAGTTGGTTCTGGTTGGAAGGCATTCGCGCTAGAAAATAAGTTAAAAGTCGGTGATGTTTGTGTATTTGAAGTGCTAAAGGGCAAGCTCTTTGTAGATGTCATAATATCTGATTGACAGACTAGCTTGATCCTAATGGGAAAACAAGATTGCTTGATCACTTCTTTAGCTACGGAGTATCTATTTTGTAAAGAGATGAGCATGCTCTACTCTCTCTCTGTTTCATGTATTTCAGATTTCTGATATTAATATATAAGATATATGACAAAGTCATGTGGATCACTTGGTGGGAAAAATATAGGATTCTTGTCAAAGTCACGTGGATCACAAAATGAATCTATGATTTCAGGTCAACTCGTTGATTTTGAGAAAACCAAATCAATTGGATATAACAGCATCGTGACTTGCTTAATTAAAACCCCAAAAACTATTGTCATCAAAACTAATTTACGCAAGAAAAATGTTGCACTTTCTCAAATGCCTCTCTTTCTTGTTTTAGCTGATGAAAGGCCTGATTAGCTGCGCAAGACTAATGGCACAATCAGCTCAGATATATCTTTCAAAATAGTTCTATCTATATTTTTTGGTGTTAACTTGTAGAGTTTATCTAACTCTATTTCTACCCCAAGATCTTGTATTATGTTTGGTATACCTAACTTCAAAATGTAACTCTTTCATATCAATGATCATTGGAGGCAGTTTTAAAAAAAAGTTCTATCTATATTACTGTTCAATTTAATTTAATAAAGAAGATGCAATGTTGTACTACTGGATTGATAATACCTTATGTCACTAATACTGCAATTGAAACTAATATGATAATTGTATTAGTTGTAACGCCTTATCGTGGGATCCGGACAATATTAATGAAATGGAAAAAATCTCTCGTGCTTAAGACATGAGAATTGAAAGGTGTATCCATTACGTACTTTTTCTTACTGCCTCCTTGGTTTGGGGACAAAGCTAGGCAAAAGAAAGACCAACTCACAAGGGCCAAGTGGAGTGTAGACCAGAGTACGAGGGAGCCAAGCCAGCAAGGGCCTTATCTCATGCATTTTCTTCTTTCTGATCACATTTTTCAGGACGAAGCGTATACACAATTGCAATTTTTGAAATACAAAGTTGTGTTTCAATATGTATTTTACTTTTAAAAAATAAACTTTTTGTGAGTGAAAGTGAAACTTCTCCAAAAGAAAAAGGGTTGAAGCTTGAAAAAAAATTTAAGACAGATTTTCATAATCTAATTGAAAATCTGGTCAAACACTATTCATGTGTTTTTCTTTTGCCTTGTACATCACACAGTCCTCGTGAGTCAGTCACACGCATCACGTGAGTCAGATATAATACAGTCCTCGTGAGACACACATTGCATTGTCCTCGTAATTCATGCATCAAAGTCCTATAAAAAGCATTCCTCAACAATTTCCCATCCATTGCTCAACTGCCGTCATGGTAAACAAGTTCCATGGCTCTTCCTTTAGGAACTCTTCTCCCAACAACCCTAAGTTCATCTAAATCATTACTTCCTCAGATGAGTTATGCCGTCTCGTAAGTAATTTCTTCATCTTCCAAATCTTTATTTTGCTCACAGATTACCAATTTTTTTTTAGTGCAAGTGTAATTTCAGTCCTTGTTAACTGTTGATTTAGATCCAATAATTACTATACTTTTATATGGGTCTAATTCAATGAGAATTTCTCAAAACAATCATGTAAGAAGACAATTTCATCCCTCGATAAAAAAAACATTCCTTTCACGCCCAAGGATAGACATTTGGAGGATTCAACATTTGATAAACCAAATATAAGGATGTGTTAATAGGAGGTAGCTTGTACATGTAAAAGTAATTAGTCACATAGGTCTGCTTCTGTGTGTTCAGTCCAAGATATATGTTAAACTAATTATTTATGTCTGATTTTGTCTGTATGAAATTGAATTCAAATTTCTTTTGCACACAGAGGATTCCAGTAGTATTTGCCAAAAGACATTGCAAGAACATGTTAAACCCCGTGTTTCTTGAGGCTCCCCATGGAAAAGCATGGGAGGTTGAAGTGGAAAATTCTCAAGGCCAAATTTGGCTAGCCAAAGGATGGAGAGATTTCTGTGGCTATTACTCAATAACCGTCAGGAGCTTATTAATCTTCACATACAACCCGCGTTCTCACTTTGATGTCGCTATTTATGATCAGAGTACAACAGAAATTGAATATCCAATAGATCAAGAGATTGAATCAGATGAAGAAGAGGAAGATATTCCAGTCCTCCAAGCTAATGCTAATGTAATCGAGGAAGATATTCCAGTTAAGCTTCAAGCTAATGCTAATGTAATCGTGGAAGAAGAGGAAGATATTCCAGTTAACCTTCAAGCTAATGCTAATGTAATCGAGGAAGAAGAAGATGATATTCCAGTTAACCTTCAAGATAATGCTAATGTAATCGAGGAAGAAGAGGAAGATATTCCAGTTAACCTTCAAACTAATGCTAAGGTAATTGAGCAAGGTAAGTAAACATCTTAACTGCTTTATTAGCTATTAAGTGAATCCATTTAGTAGTAATACATTGCATTTGGATATCTATTTCAAGAAATAAGTGAAGGCTATGAGGAGCACGACCAACAACCCAACATTGGTACCGGTAAAACCAACAGGTTTTTAGACTTTTTAAACTAACTAGGGATTATATCAGTCCCACTTTTTATATGAGATGAGTGATACCAGGATTTTGGTATAGAAATAACACTGATCTTAGGTAATACTTCCAATGAAATACGAGATAGGTTTAACCTCAAAATCTATAATAGGATAGCCCAATTAATCCCTTGAACCAACCAATCGCTTAAAGAATTCCTTTTTATATCTTTATGAATTTTGATTAATCCACCATGAAATATATTTTCAATTGTAGCGTTCAAGTAATTAATGTGTGGTTAGATTTTTCACTTCCTGTACCACCAACATGTTAGAAAGATTGGAATATCAATCTCATCGGGACAAACTACAAAAACTCATGCTTCAGGAGTAGAATCTTTCTCAAATTCTAGTGTTTCCACGACAGCTAATCAATTTTGTTCTACCTAGCTAATCCCTCTTTCAAGACCACATATTTTTCCAGCTTAGGATGCCGGAAATCTTTGTTGAATGCAACTAATTTGAGGATTGATAAGAGTATTATTTTGTTACAGGCAAAACAATCAAGCAAGAAGAGCACTGAGGCGGAGGTGATCCCAAATAGAAACTCAGAAGCAGCAGCCGCGATTGGAACTACTGACACAAATACCGATGTCTCTTATGAGGAATCGGATGATGAGTCCAAAAATATGTGATCATATGGTTAAAGCATATATGCAATAGTTTCTGGGCTATTTCTTATTAGTTATGGTTCTAAAGATCGTTCGAATTATTAGTGAAGTGTTCTATTAGATATATGAACAATATAATGTTGTTGCTTTTTTAGATCATCTAAGAGTAGTGTTAAACAAGCTTCTGTTGAATTAATGTATATGTGACTGCTATTGATGCATTGTCTGTGAGGCCTTGGTTGCTTTATAATTAATTGAAGATATATGTATGTTTTGTTATTGAAGGAAGCCAATTGTTACACTTCTAGCATAGGGTGATGATAGAGTAATTTCATGGCAGATTATTTCTTATTATTAAAGTATAAGATGGTTGAAGTAGAGGTGGGGTGGGGTGGACTGTTGGGTTTTAAAATGTTTGAATAGAAAATGAAGAGTTAAGACTTTTATGAAGAGTTATGACTTTTATGAAAAGTTGCGACTTTTATGAAGAGTTGTGATTTTTATGAAAAGTTGCAACTTTTATGAAGAGTTGTGACTTTTATGAAAAGTTGTGACTTTTATGAAAGGTTGTGACCTTTCCGAAAGATTGTGACTTTTCCGGTAAGGCACAATAAGAACCTTTTCACACTAGTCTTTGTTTCTATAAATTGAGGGATTTCCTATCATTTTAGTAGAACAAAATTTTTCTGGACTTCTTCTACTACTACTAAATCTAGTATTCTAAGTGTACTTTACTGCCGTTGAGTGGTTCGCTGACACCGTGATTTTAGGTACCGATACACCGGTGAGTAGGATCGTTCTATCCTGGGAGGATATATTCCATTAACCTCGGGTACTTGAGGGGAATAATTTCCTTAAGGGGACACTATGCATTCGGTGGGCCCGATTTTCTTTCTTTGAGAAAAATATTTTTATATTATTTCTAATCTATTTATGATTCTATTTTCTCTACTAGTTTTAATTTTCTAGTTTGAAAATACTCTTTAAACTTTGTTGTTTCTTACCAAGTTCTTCAAAGTTTTGTTCTAAGTATCATAGGAATACAATATGAACAACAATCTTAAGGAAATTCTTCTACTGTTGGTATTTCTTGTATTCTACTAATTGAGAGAAACAGATCATGGAAGTAGAAGATTAATGCACTACTTCTCCAGAATTCGGTGCTTTGTTTAGCAAGGTCGAAGTGAGAATGTACTAGAAGAATTGGTGGTATTTCGGTTAAAGATTACACCATGTATCCTTCTTATTATTTATCTAAGGAGGAAAATAGTTTCTAAAATTTAACAGTTTTGATATTTATCATGTATGTCTTTGGAAAAAGATCTGCAAACCATATGATATTTGAATGAATTTTCCTTGGAAAAAAGTGTTGCCTTTAAAATTCTTTAGTTTGCCGAATGAGAGATGCACATTTTTGTTTGATAAAATAGTATGTCAAAATGTTATAGTTGGAAGGTTATTTGAAAAGAAAAGCATATCTATGTGATAATCTAAGAATATGTTTAATTTTGTTTGGGGACTAAAAAAACTTTTGTAGTTCTGTACTCCATGTGAAATTTAATTGTGTCTGATTTTTGTAGACTAAAAACTTTTGTAGTTTTCTACTATGGATAAATTAGACTATGCTATTGGTTTGAAGAATATGAAAACTTCACATAATAAGTCAATGTTGTACTTTTGACTTTCTATAAACTTCACTGTCATATAGAAACAAATTGTACAAAAAAATTTGTCTTTATTGTTAGTATTCTAAATACTAAGTGGTATGTCTATTTGTGATAGAGGAAAAATACGACTGACTTAGAGTTTGTGATTTTGT